GTGCATGGCGAGGAGGGCCTTATGGCTTGTTAGTGCCCGACAGGTTAGCTTGAGGGCCGAGGGCTAACCTGAAGGGCACAAACAAGCCATAAGGCCCTCCCTGCCATGCCGCACTACTAGTAACTACACTAGTCTATGTCATGTATTTTAGACTGACGAGGTTACATGCATTATCTCACTTGCATTCTGCTTTTGTACTCATATATTGGGTAGTTTTGGGGTTTGTGTGCAGAAAGAATTGGTGTGGTATGATAAAATATTTTCTTTTTCTAACTCACCACCACCGAGGACTACTAAAAGTAGAATAGAAGCAAATGAAATGCGAGCTTCATTCCAATTCATAGCTTGTGGAGCTATTTAGGGGCTTTGAGAGTCCCTAGTCGATACCTATAATGCCTTTGATCTTCGGGTGTTATAGGGTTCCGCCAGCTGTTGACAAAGGAAAATCGTACAGATGAAAGAGTACGGGAGGCAAAAACTGTACATACTTCTGAAATGCGTAGATTTTAGTAGTACACCAAACATTTTTAGCAAAGTTCATTATCTGCACCGTACTATAATGCGTACAGGAAGTTGTACGCATTTGTTTGGGGTATATTCAGCGGGCGTTTCCTGGACAACGAGACAGACCTCGTTCTAGAAATGGTAATGAGTGCACAATCAGTTTTATTCATTGCTATTTTACAACTATCCAGGCAGGCATAGTGGGTTGGTCAAAGACCATGATTGAGATACGAGAGGTACCTGGTTCAAGTCCTGCCTGGGAGCGGTTTTTCCAGCCGTGCTGCTACCCACAGTCAACTGGGAACTTGTGGCCAGGCACAAGGGGTACATGGATGCAGCTAATGGGGTCGTTTTTGGCACTTGTGCCAGTGGTTGTGAGGCTTGCCCACTCACCCCCACCGTTAGGCGCTGCATCTGCCGCTAGGGTTTATCGGGTGTTAGCGGCCGTCGTGAGTTCCCTTCGGGAACGGATACGATAATTTACTCTCTTTTTTTTACTTTTTTTATTTTACAACTATTGTCTCCTTGTCGGTTATTTAGAAAAAAGGAGTGCATGCTTTGCTAATGATTATCACATTACGACTATTACATATGGCTGGGATGTTAAAAGCCACAGAATGAGAAGAGAGAAAACATGCGATTAAGACTTATTAGTAACAACCAAATAATGAATATCGGAATGTGTGACATCTGGGCTGTTAGTAAATGAGTACTGGTGCATGTGCACAGCATAGATCATCACACACCTTGTATTCATTACATGTGTTGCATGCATGTTCACAAACAGACAAGGAGTACCGCGACAAGCAACCCCTGACACTTTGTAGTGCGAACACATTTACAGCGCGTATACCAGCCTTCTACTCGGAAGGCTGAATATAGGACAGTCTTCCAAGTGCGGACAGTATATGGACTGTTAGGTTCTTAGGTAGCCAAGACTAATTATGGAAGTATAAAACTGAGAACTTGAGATTCAATCTGGAAAAAACAAACAACGGAGACGACTCTCAAACAAGGATACATGCGTGCATACAAGTAGAGCTAAAGCTGTTGCATTATACATGTACATGACGTCATAACATATCATGCGCCAGAGACAAGCATAAGACAAACATAAGATAAATCTCACACAGGGACAAAGAAGTCTGGGGGTTACTTACATGAATATGATAGCAAAGGCTGACGTCGATGCCAGCCCGGAAAGGCTGATGATTGCCCATTCCCAAAGATGCCAAAATATTTCGCAACTTATGCTTTTCGCAACCATGCCAAAACAAGTGAAAGTTGCTGAAAAAGCATCCATATTTTCAGAAAAAGCTCAAAAGTTGCTGATATCGCAACTCAAAATGAGCGAGTTCTTATGCATAATATCATAGCATCATTGCTCAGTGCTTACTATAACCGTCCACGGTTAGCAGAGCCGGTTCAAATGGTCCTAACGGACTGGGGCTCTGCCAACCGTGGATGGTGGTAGTAAGGTGACTGTTTCCGAACACAGTGGTCCTCCGCCTTGTAACATACAGTCAACCAACAATGTACCAGTATGTACCATCAGTATATATGTTTGTACCGTACTTGACTTTTGTTACATTTTGTACATGTACATCATGTTCTTCGAGAAGTACACTTGTCAAGTTGTCATGATGATTTGATGCAATGTTTCAGCGCTTGCCAACAGCAGCATAGTGGGATGGTCTAAGACCATGATTGAGAAACAGAGGGTACCAGGTTCAAGTCCTGCTTGGAAGCGGAAGGATTTTTTCCAGCCGTGCTGCGACCCACAGTTAATTGGGAACTCGTGGCCTGGCACGAGGTAACCATGGATGCAGTGAATGGGATTTTCGGTCTTTGACCACATGCTGGTGAGCTGATCTACTCACCTGCCACCGCTTTAGGAGCTTCATCTGTGCCTTGATCCTTGAAGGGTGGTGGCGTTCCTACGGATGCGGAAAACTCGGCCTCTATAATTATAGAGTAACCGAGTCTCACGCAAACCGTGACATTTTTTTCAGCGCTTCTTGTTGAAGGGAAGCATCACGGACACTTCAATGGTCTCCTCCAAGGCGCTTAACTGCTCACGGTTGCGGGAAAGTTACGAAGTAGTTCATGAAAATGAAAAAAGTTGCGAAAGTTGCGATCTCTTCCAAAAGAACCAAAAGTTGCGAAAAAAAGTGGCGAGCATCTTTGGGAAAGGGCTACTGATGATGATTAGCACTCAACCAAGCCTTACGTACACTGAAGGCTGGATGATAACCAGCGCAAGCGCAATTTTCTGTAATTGTTACTTGGTGATGTGGTTTCCTGACCATACTTGGAAGTACCTGTACATTTTGTTTGCATTCAGTCAGTATACAGGTGTCACTTTAACCAGAAGATGTCACAACGCTGCACCTTCCTTTGTCCTTAGTTACTCCTCCATTCAAGTTCCCTGACAATAGCCAGCATAACAGGACTTTAGACGGAACTGCTATTTTTTTTATTCTTGTAGGCAATGTCAAAAGGAAGACGCGCATTGTCTATTCAGCATAACTGCAGAACACATTTTCTCCTAGCATACGTACATGTACGTCTTCGTTCGCTTTGCATCGCACTGTGCAGGGCTATACAGTGAATTGCCAGAATGAATGCCTACTGAGCCAAGTGTATGGTGTTCCTTCAGCTGCTTCCAATTGATCGTGGGTGGCGATAATCAAGTTATGATATTGGGGAAGTATTAAATAATATTATTGTGATGAAGATTTCTGATGATTATCACATGAAAACGACGTTCAAATCTTAACCCTTTATTACCGGCCTGCAGACTTTCGATCATAATAAATTATTGTTACGTTGTTCTCGTGGTATGAGTGCGCTCATTATACTTTCGTCGATAAAAGCGATTGCCGTATAACATTTTATGATTTTACACATACATGTCGACATATAGGAAATGCTTACAGTTCAATTAGTCCTCCTTTTAGCTATAATTAAAAAGTCGGCGTGGAGACAAGAAACCTAATACTGTATCGATGAAAGTAAAGGAAACTCATGCCACGAGAGCAATGGAACAATATTTTATGATTTGAACGTCGTTTTCATGTGATAATCCTCAGAAATTTTCATCAGAGTTGGACTACAAGGGACTACTTGTACTATGGTACCATAAAGTGAACATTATCAGATCTAAAACTAATACAAGAAACAATAATATTCTAAAGCTAGCACTACAGCTGAGGATAATTTTAACGACCTACCGGCACCAACAGGTTAAATAGAAAAGCCCAAAGATTTAGAAGTTATCCATTGTTGTCCAACACTAATATTGCCATGATGTGGGTGAGTCAGAATTTGGAACAGCTAGCACAATACTGACAAGTGGTGCTGGCATGCAAAGATCTGGTGTTTAGCTCCATCACGTCTCGACTGAACGATGCAACACTCGTCCGACTAGGAATGGTCTAACTGCTGCACCTTCTGACCCACGAAAACCTTGGTCATACATACCAGTGTTGGACAACAATGATAAATTGTAAACGCTTTGGTGAACGGACGAATATTCTATATTCTTCTGGTGTGTCTTCTAATGGTACTCATTCACTTCATTCACAATCAGCCTGACGAGCACCAAACAGCCAGCACTCAAATGTCACTCTTTGTCTAGGTCTACCCTCATTAGTACGACAAAAATCGTTGTAACGTTGCCTTCAGCTGTCTCACAGGTTCGATTCCCACATTACAAGACAAAGCAAACAGCCATGGATATCTCGATCGATGTTTCATGTTGTCTTGTATCGGGGGTCCGATTCAAAACTTGTCTAATAACGGGCTATCTTGTACAGAAGTCTGGGGAAAACATTGTCTTATCACTCCCCCCTCACGTGACCGCGGACTCCTGCATATACACTCACACAATAACCACACAACTGTTTGGGGATAGCGCGCTTATTGTATTATGCCAAACTTGACACGCTGAGTCCAGCTTGACTCAGCTGAGTCCCTAACTGCAATTTACTGCTCTAACATGAAGCCGTGCCTGGAAGAAGGGAAAGAGCGAAAAAGGAAGAAAAAAAATTCTGGCCTTCTGCAAGCAATAGCAAGTAATGAGTGACGGCTGTGTAAAGTCGCACAACCATGCAGTCGACCGGATGATGGTGAGTGTCCGGCACACATCTTGCTCTGCTGCTCCACCTGCGCATACCTGATACGGTGGTGCGCTTACGGGCGGGCTGCCTGGGCCCCAGATGCCTCCTTGATGCGCCACGGAGTGCCGTCGAAGCACCTGTATCACTTCGGTGATCCAAATGCGAATGCAGCCTTGCCGGTCGCCCGCCGGCCTGCCGCCTACGCGACCAGCCTGAGACTGGCCCTGCCGCATTTGGCGCTTCTAAACGCTGCGATCCGGTAGACAGCTCACTGGGCTGCCAAATACGTGACTGGCTTGAGGACAGTTCCATACTGGGCAGGGCGCCCAGCTCAGGTCGCACGCCGTAGCGGCGTGAGCTGGGCGCGGTGAGGGTTGGTGATAACTACAGTTTCCTCCTTCCTCCTACGGAAACTTCCATTTAAAATGAGGAAACATCATTTCTGAAGCGGATACAATATGAATGATGTAAAACAGCAGACAAATTTGCAAATCCGGATAGTAGATAAAACTCGTCATATTGCGGCCACCCAGAATTAATGCGTTGTTTCGGGTCAACCGATCCTGACGACCGACCATCCTTTTTCACCCGACCGCAAAAGGTTTTTTTATTGTGCATGCAAATGTACATGACTACACACACGCAACCCTAATAATTATAGCAGTCTAGACATCGACCTCATGCTCAGAAGCAGCCCAATGACAGGATGCGGCGCTTGGTGACGACTCTGTGTCTCCGATCCGCAATCGGTCCTGAACAGCGTGATGCTGCATCACCTCTGCCACCGCGTCGCTCATTGACAGACGTAACGGTTAGGTGAGAGCTGCTCGTCAGACTCGTTTGCCAGCGAGGCCAAGATATGGCCTTGGAGGGGACCTGGATCTAATGGGACAAAGACTGAGCTGGATCGTCTACAGTCAGATTTGATCGACTGGCTTGATGGACAAAAGCCATTGGATATGCACAATTGTCCATGTATGCACACCGTAGTAACCAAAAAAATAATAATATTATAATACAGTCGTCCCTCTCTAACCCGGCACCTTTTGCTACGGCGTTTTCTGCTGGATTAACGAGGGTGCTGGATTAAGAAATCCTGCCCTCTGATCCGGCCCTACCCAATTGCATGCATGTATCATATGTACGTCAAAACGCAGGGTTCTTCCGTGTCGACCCAAGTATTTGGTGCACGGCTTTATATTCTCAATTGTTCTCCGGGAATATACACAGTGATAAAGTGATAAAGTAAAACAGAGAACATGTTCACATGTACTCTTGCACACACACGCACACACACACACACACACACCTGAAAATTGGCAGGACACTACTCCTTGCTAAAATAAGAAAGTATGGTTGACTGCCGTTGTCTCCTGGACAAGCCTAGCCTGGCCTGGCAAGGAGTGCACCTGTATGGCACGCGATTTACGACTGCCGGATTATGAAATCAAACTACGTGCAGTTTGAGCGATTCGTTTCAAAAAGTCACTGCCGGAGGCGGAATTCAAGTGCCGGATTAAGATGTAGGAATTGAACGAAAAAAATCGGTTTCGTCAGAAAGTGCGCCGTTTGGCAAGGGTTCCGGATAAACAAGTGCCGGATTAGAGAGGGACGACTGTAACAATAATAATAGATTTTTGAAAGGATTGGGAGAACTTCAAATTCAAAGGATCAGTTGGGGAAGTGAACTGCCTGAAAAGAGAAAAAAATCGCCACACCCACCAGGACTCGAACCCGGGACCTTGCTTGTCATGAGCAATGCTCTAACCACTGAGCTATGGACCCGGGCTGAACCTAAAAGGCGCTGACCCAAGAAAGACCCAAGTGCCATCAGTATGTGTGGCACGTGTTGTGAATTGCCTTTGGAGTGAAAAACGTGTCAGCGCCTTCTAGGTTCAGCCCGGTCCCATAGCTCAGTGGTTAGAGCATTGCTCATGACAAGCAAGGTCCCGGGTTTGAGTCCTGGTGGGTCTGGTGATTTTTTCTCTTTTCAGGCAGTTCACTTCCCCAACTGATCCTTTGAATAATAATAAGGTAATAAAATAATCCCGATCGGCTGACCCTGGCGCGGATGATTGAAGTGACCCGAAACAACGAATTAATTCTAGGTGGCCTAAGACAAAAGCATTTAGTTAACCCCCAGGATTGTCTACTAACGAGGGTAGACCTGTAATCTGAAAACTCCGGGCAGTCTGAGATAAAAATGAGTTTACTGATACAACCCCAGAATAGCCCGTATGGTTTGCACATATGCCTGCAATGTGTTTTTGTGATGTTGGTTATTTTCCCCGTTGTAGGTCGTATGATTGCCTTTGCTGACATGGGTGTATGGCTTGACAAGCACCTCGTGAATTGGCAGAGCAAGCCTGTTGTGGACTTGATCCAGCGCATGATCAACAACACTGACAAGAGAATCGATATGATTGCTCACATCATTGACATACCCTGTAAGCCTGGTCTGCATTGCCTCTGTGTTGCTAGCGAGTGTTCTTGCAGCCGTGTCGCAATATCAACGTCCTGGTGTCTGAACTTCACACACAGGAGAAGCTTGGGCTCTCGAAATTTGAACCATGTTGTGCAAGTACATAAGCATGCACCATTTTAGATGCACTGGTATGCTGGAAGGTCAAGGCATCTTCAAACGATCACAAATCGGTCAAATGTTGCTCGATGTTGGTGATTGAAATATTGTATGTCAGAGAGAAACTCACAGTTTGCATTAGGAACAACCACTCATGTTGTAGGACTAGCAATTCTGAAGTTACTGGGCCGAAAACAAGCATTTCTATCCTGTTGTGGTCAAGCCTACCAGCCAGGACAGCACTTTTTCTCATTGTAAGCAGGTCAGGTATGGCATTTGGCGGCTAAAAGTCGGCCGCTGGTCTTGCAATGCAGGCGGTCGCGGTTTCCGGCGCAGTGACTACACAAAACCGTTGGTGCACGGAAAAATGGTCATCAAAATCAGGTGGTCGTTAATACCAGTGGTCGCTAATACCAGTGGTCGGTAATACCAGTGGTCGGTAATACCAGTGGTGGGTAATACCAGTGGTGGGTAATACCAGTGGTGGGTAATACCAGTGGTGGGTAATACCAGTGGTGGGTAATACCAGTGGTGGGTAATACCAGTGGTGGGTAATACCAGTGGTGGGTAATACCAGTGGTGGGTAATACCAGTACCGGTAGTCGCGTAGCCCAGGTTTTACTATACTGCTGATCAGTGTGCTCTCATGTTTCTGTTTCAGGGTATACATGTATTGGTATTTCTCATGTCCTCTTTCGTCCTCCTCAGATACAGATGCCACAAGTAAGAAACATGTCTGGGAGAAGTTCTTCTACCATATTGAGTCCATAGCAACACTAGTTCCATACCATGTTGCCATAGGACATGGTGGTAAGCTAATTGTGTGCAGCACACATTAGTTTTATGAAAACCTTTAAAACAGGCACAATTTGAGCATATGACAATACATGTCATGTTGCCGACATAACGCAATATGCACCCTGCATGGTGGCAATAGCACAAATTGATTCCAATATATGAGCCAGAGCACGCTAAAATATGACCACAGACCAAAAATTCGATTTTCAGTTTTTTGTTCAAAAATGATCAAAAACACCTAATGTTCTCTGTCTGAAAGTTTTGGATTGATCTGACATGTCTAAGTGTTGCTACAATGGTATTATATGAAGCACTGTTGAAATGGTGAAATTCTATGGACGACAAAGGGATTGTCATTTTTGCACACAGTTGATATGTCCCTTGGTTCATCCTTTCCGGGTCAGTTCCTCTGTCCAGGGTCGAATAGCACGAGCTGACATGTACTCGGCCACATCCAAAATATCTATAGGCAGCTGAGCTGGGTGTCCGAAATACCTCCTGGTTGGACCACCACTGGAGAACTGCCAGCGAAAACACGGTCCATATCTGTAGATGGCTGAAGAAGTTTGCACTCCACGTCCTCTCCATCACACTCCACCTGTCTTTCACTCCACCTGTCTTTCAGATATACAGTATACACTGCTGCACACAGTCTTCCTCAACATACTCGACGTCGCACTCATATTCCCCACACCAAAGCCCATCTGCACACGTTTTTCTCCGCTCGCCAGAGAGTACTGCTTTCGCTGCCTACTGCTCGTGCCAGCGATGTTCCACATAAGGGTGCTCAAATGATTGACTTGAGCAAGTTGAGGGAGCAGCAGAGTTCATTGATGTTTTTCCACTTGCAATCAATACTGGCATTGTCCCGGATATGTGCAGCGATGTCCATTCTGGTCAATTCATCGGCCGACTCACCTCCCAAGTCAGTGTCGATGCCAATCGCTTGCCAGGTTGTCATCAGAGTAGAATTCCTCGTCACTGCAGATTGCGGGACTACCAGCATCAATTCTTTAACGCTCGATGAAAGTGTTGCCCTCAAATGAATCGTCGCTGTAGCCATCATCGTCTTCCTTCTGTTTCCGACCCAAATCCTCAAAATAATTCATCCTGCGCATGGAGTGCGAGGATGTCGTCTTCTTCCGCTCCGCAGTACAGTACTACCACTAGGCTCTTCCGTCGATACATCGATGTTGATCAGTTTTAGGCGACTCAGCGCAACATGGAATACAAACTCAAACTAATAAACTTACTTGCAACAAAGAAAATGCATCCAGAACAGTCCAGTCGACCGAGGAGAACAACAACAGCGACTCGCGTTGCACTGCACTTCGTATTCTTTGCTGCGGAATTCAAATCGCGATTTTCTCGACTTTTTCCAAAAAAGCTGTGGTCATGTTTTAGCGCGCTCTGGCTCATATTCCGATTTTGCAGCCGATTTGCGAACAATCAGCTTATTTTGCCGCTGAATCTGATGTATTTTGATCTTAGCAAAAAGCCGGATAGCTGAAAAACGGATTTGGGGAGAGCCTACTGCTGGGTACTAGTGCATTGAGGTCATGTGACTCGTGTCCTTTCACCTCTCAAACAAACACTAGCCATAAGGAAGATCGTTACTAATGAAATCCCAAAATCGGCTGGCCGAAAAATTCGCCGAAAATGAGACTCGGCAAAAATCGCTAACCTTTTCGCCGGTTTTGGAGTGCTCCTTTGAGAATCGCCGAAAATCTACCAAATCTTCCAATATCTCACCAATTTTGAAGCCAATATGCCAACAGTTCTTTTAGCCGATTTTCCAATATATTCCAGTTTTGCAGCCGATTTTTGAACAATAAGCTGATTTTGCAGCCGAATCTGATGTATTTTCGAGACTCCTGAAGTAGCGAAAAGCTGAATAGGCGAAAAAACGGGCCGATTTGGGGAAAGCCTAGTCAAGGTGTCAGTAAACAACTTGAGAGATAGTTCATTTTTCTTTTGTTTACACAAAGGTGGCTGCATAGTGTATAAATCGCTTCTAGCACTTTCAGATGGGCGAGACCACAAACACGGGCACGTGACAAAGCAGAGAAGTGGCTATCGGAATACACACGAGCACAACCAGCATTGGCAACAGAAGAATCATATTCACGGTCAACAGAACACTTGAGCTAGGTCCACAGTCAAACGTTTTCGGTGTAGGCTCTGCTGGCATTCTTGCAGGCGCAGAAGCCAGCACTGCATCAGTTGCTGTTGACACGTCAGTTGACTCTGCTGGTGACGCTGCCGTTGACGCTGCCATTGACCCTGCCATTGACCCTGCCCTGCCATTGACCCTGCCATTGACCCTGCCCTGCCATTGGCCCTGCCATTGGCCCTGCCATTGACCCTGCCCTGCCATTGACCCTGCCATTGACCCTGCCATTGACCCTGCCATTGACCCTGCCATTGACCCTGCCCTGCCATTGACCCTGCCATTGACCCTGCCATTGACCCTGCCATTGACCCTGCCATTGACCCTGCCATTGACCCTGCCCTGCCATTGACCCTGCCCTGCCATTGCTAGCCTAGTGCATGTGTAATTCATTTGAAGAGCATCCACGAAAACTGGTTCATGAATTTCAGAATCCTTATTGATGATGATGGTGGTGAATAGCTTGAAATTGGTAGTCTTTCTGTCCCTAATAAGCTCCCTACTCATTTGTCGACTATATTTTGTGTGTTTTCTTCATGCCATTCAACAAAACAATGTAGTCGATAGTCCCTACTAGAGGGTTCATAAAGCACACTTATCTGGGATGAAATCGCGGGTTCGCCCCGTAAGTTGCATTTTGCATTGCAAGACAATTTTGAAAAATAGAAAAGTAGATTACGGGGTAGCTGTTTCCCATGCTATGTAAGTGAAATCCGTGGAACTTCGAATTAATCGGACATGTCTGGTTCGAGGTTCGAATTATCAGAAAAATTTATGTGGGAATCGTATTGACAGAAATCGGTCCTGGAAAACTTCGAATTAAGCGGTATGTTCGAATTAAGCCATATTCGAATTATCAGGATTCCACCTGTATTGGCATGCGTATGACTATTCATCATTGATCTGGCCATTTTTGAGCAGCAGCCCAACTTGTGCCTCTACCTTCAAAACTTGACTATTCCACATTGGAACAACTCCCTGTACTTCTTTTAAAACTGAGATAGGTGATAACCTTGGATCGCCTTTGCTGTAGATGTATCCCTGCTTTGTTTCGTGTGATTTATGTGCCATGGATTCCATGCTTCCCAACAACATATGAACATGGTGTGACTGCATAGAATATGACCACACAAGGTAAGCTGTATTCCATTCCACATTATAAGAGATAGTAGGGGTGTTCTGGTGGCAAAATGTCAAGCCACGAATCATACAGTATGCGATGAATCACTTTGCTTACTACTGGATCATCTTGTGCAGCGCAACGAATGTCTGCAATGCCTACTGGAGCGGCTTCCAAAACTAGGCCAACATACTCACGGAGAGAACGCGATTCGGCTGGAGAAGCATCAGTAGACGCTACCAGGGCTCTGGAAAGTGCATCAGTACAGAAGAACTCCTTCCCTGGAACATGCTTCAGGGCGTAATCGTACGGCATGAGCGCCACTAACCAGCGCTGCAATCGAGGCGGCACATCGTCAAATGCCTTCTGCACAATCGGTATGAGAGGTTTGTGATCAGTGTACACCTGTACATGACGACCCAGAACATAGATGTACTGGCGAAAACGGGTCAGTGCAAACACTATGCCGAGCATCTCTCGCTCCATCTGCGAATATCGTGACTCTGTGTCTGTGAGCGTGCGGCTGGCGCATGTAATCGGCAGCCATTGTCCAGACTTGCTTTGCTGCCACAGAATAGCTCCCAGACCAGAAGGTGAGGCATCAGAGCTGATTGCTGTCGGTACGTTTACACCCGGCTGGAAATATGCAAGTGTTTGCAATGAGGAGACTACAGCTTGCTTAACTGTGGAGAACGCTTTGAGGAGGTCATCGTTCACAGTGAATGGTTTACACTTCATCAGCTGGCGTAATGACTCTGTGGCTTCAGTCAGGCGAGGAACAAACTTTCCTAAGTACATGACCCTACCCAAGAAGCGGTGTGCACACGGTACAGTCTTTGGGACGGCCATGTGGGCGATAGCGCTTACCTTGCTGTGTCCGGCTGAACTCCATCCCTGGTCAACGTGGAGCCCAGGTACTTGACTTGGTCTTTGCCGATATGACACTTGGCCCAGTTCAGCTTGAGGTTTGCTGCCTTCAGGCGTTCCAAGACCCTCGCCAGGCGAGAATCATGCTGAACTTGATTCCTTCCGAAAATCAATATGTCATCTATGTAGACAACAACACCCGGCAGGCCAACTAGAATATCTGACACCACTCGCTGAAAGATTTCGGGGCGCATTAAATACCAAACGGCAGTCTCTTGAATCGATACGATCCACAGTGTGAAGCAAATGCTTTAAACGATCGTGATTCTTCCTCCAGTAACAGCTTGTGGAATCCCGATTTGGCGTCCAGCACTGAGAATACTTGTGCTCCTGCTAACTCGCTGGTTATTTCATCTACCGTTGGGAGAGAATGGCGTTCTCTAATGATGGACTTATTCAGCTGTCTATAATCCACACATACCGGTAACCGGAGTGTACAGGCACAACGAGCGAGACCCAAGGCGACGCCTCCTTCACAGGCTCAATGATGTCAGCCTTAGCCAGACGTGCCAGCTCCTTTTCTATGTCGGCTTTGACGCTAAATGGAGGGCGACGAGCTGGCTGGGCTACCGGTCTAGCGCTCTTGTCCACAGTGATAGAAACTGGAGCAGTTTCAACAAGACATGCTGTATCTGCCATGTGTGCATTCACCAGCAGTTCCAATTGTGGGATGACATATTGTCCAAACAATACAGGACGCTTGCCAGCCGGTACAACAAAACGTTCACAGAGAATGGTGTTGTCTCCTACAGCAATGTCGACGTCCGCCATGACAAGAGTCTTCACTTCGCCACCGTTGTATGCTCGAAGTATGCGGTCACTTGAGCGGGTAGGCTGCACCACATCATCCGTGAGAATGGTGCATGTTGCTCCGGTGTCAAGCAATCCCTCACATGGCTTGCCATTCACCATCAGTGTCATGGTAGACTGGCCTCTGGCTGCCTTATCGCTGCATGCGAAAATAGAATCATACACCACTTGTGCAGTGTCACTGTCTTCCTCCGCATCCACTGCATTGGCTTTGTTAGGCTTGTGTGAGAGACAAACTGCTTCGAAATGGCCAACTTTCCTGCAGCTGTTGCAACGGACATGTGCTGCTGGGCAGAACTGCTTTCCATTGGCATGCATTCGATCACAGTACTTGCAGCCAGGACCTTTCGTCATTTTCCTTTTGAGTTGGTGCTTGGGTTCACTGCCTGACACAGCCGCTGTGGTCTCTGACCTCACACATGCTGCTACACTAGGTCCTGGTTCACTGTTGTACAAGTTGGAGTCCAAAAGCGATGCTTCAATAGCAACTGCCTTCGAGAAAGCGTCCGCCAAAGTCAGCTTAGGCTCCTTCAATAGTTCGCGCCTCGAGTCTTTCGACCTCAATCCAGCAATTAACTGGTCGCGGACTTGAGTATTGACGACCGTGACAACATCTGTTGACGCGAAACTACACAGTTCCACTTTCTCTCTCAGCCGACTCATGAAGGTTGAAACCGATTCGTCCGGCAGCTGTCTAATCTGACGAAACTTGTGCCGCTCTGACGTCACATTGATGGACGGTTGAAAATGGCAACGAAGTAGCTCGGTGAGGGCTTTGTAAGTGTCTCCCGGGTTATCCAAAGTTGCATCATCTGGAATGGGAACGACTAAACCTTTGACGATCCTTCTGACATTGAGACCGGCAAGATTCAAGAAGAGGTACTTCCTGTCTCCTGGGTCCGTCACTTGGCAGATCTTCATATAATCATCGACATCATCTAACCAGAGATCGAAGTCTGTGCCCGTATCTCCACCATAGCAAGGAGAAAATTCTTCCGGAGGTCGTCCCTTTGCCATAGCGTCAAGTTGCTTGAGCTGTTCACTGCGCCAGTGTAGTGAGCTGGCCAGAATGTAATGATTACTGGAATGACAAGAGACTATATTAACATACAGCGGTGTGAATGTAGCACATCATGAAGGTGTGAGTGCGACACATGCAGTGATGTGTAGAATGCAACATATGACAGCTAGGTGGTGTAAGAACAACGCAGTCACTATCACTACACCATTCTGTGGAATGAGTTGCCTCCTGATGTTCCCCTTGCCGTGCGCAAAGTTGAATTCAAACGCATGGTCTGAATTTAACACATACATGTCTATTTTAATATCGTTCTGTGTCACAAAGCGGCATCCAAGATTCATGCGACAATGCATTTCAAGTATTGTCCGGCACAGTAGCCCAGTTGAGTTGGTAAATTTCCTACTACGTACCATGATGTACATGCATTGTACATGTATCGTTGGTAAAGGACCACTTTCATAGTTGCTACTTCCTTTTTTTGAAATATCTCGTTCCCTTTTCCGTTTTCACACTTTCATTCTTCAAGTATTATAATTATACTACTTTCGTTTTTGGTAGGAATCAAACAGCCAAGCTCTGGTGAGAAGGCACCACTGCCTGGGCTTTAATTAAGCAAATTGAAATAAAAGAATAATAAAAACAACAACAACAACAACAACAACAACAACAACAACAACAACAACAACAACAACAACAACAACAACAACAACAACAACAACGTGCGGCAAGCTGACGGCTTACAACGGTTTCATCCGGCCCACCATGGAGTACAGACAGTTGTCTGACATGGATGGGTACAACCGGGACCACCCTGACCACCCTGACCACCCTGACCACCCTGACCACCCTGCTCCAACTGGATCAGGTGCAATGCATGGCACTCTGGCTAATTGGACCAGGCACCTGGCTCCCATGACTGGATCATCGGCATCGGGTTGCCACACTCAGCTACCTGTATAAGCTCCACTACCTGCCTCTATCCCATTCTCTCAAGCCCATGCTGCCTTCATCAGCCAGAAACCACCACACCATGTCGCACACGGCAGTCCACCACACACCGCCACGAATTCCAGCTGCAAGCCCTTTACCCTACCCAAGTACCACTGCGCCACCTCCGCCACTTCCCATCGGCAGTCGTAGGAACCTCGAATTCCCTACCTCCCGGCCTCCTCCAAAAATACCCCAGCTCAAAGAAAGCCCAGGCCTTCAAGATCAACGCGCACCGCCATTTACTGCATTCCAGCTGGATTGCCAACATCGATAGCCTCTAAAGCTCCCACCAGTCAACTCATTCCCTAATTACTCTCTCTCTCTCTCTCTCTCTCTCTCTCTCTCTCTATCTATCTTTCTCTCTCTTTCTCTCTCTCTTGCACGCGTGCACTCTCACCTCACCTAGTCAGCTTCCTGCCAAACTAACATAGCTCTTCATTTCTACCAGTTCATACATTTTTCAGACTTTCCCACACTGTATCTATATTTTTATTACCAGTGCATTGGCTCTGGCTTTTCCGTCATACTCTTCAAAGGCCATTTTCTCCTGTTTATTCAATCCACTTTTTTGGCGCATCCTGGTTGCTGCGAGGCCGAGACCTCATTGTCGGCTGAGCTCCAGAGCCTCGTCACCACATGCTCTCATTCTTCTTGAGCTGTTGCTTTTGTAAAACGAAACAACAACAACAACAACAACAACAACAACAACAATACATACATGGGCCGCGATCAGCTAAAACATGTCTTTGGGGTTTCGTAAAAAAGTTGGGAAATGACGAAATGAAAAAAATGTTGTTTTGGAGCGCGTTCACTCTGCACTTCATTCAAATGATTCATGATGTGGCGATCATCTTCTCAAATTTTGTTCAAACACTTGTTTGGCGTTCTACTTCAAGTAGCTGGCGAGCAAAGACTGACAATGTCCGCATCTAGTGATACTAGAGGAGCTCGCAGGGCCAGACGATCGCTGTGCATGGCCCAGGTTTGTTCAGGTGTCTGCAAGTCCGTGGCGGCGGGTCTGCAGAGCGACGCTGACAATTTGTTGGGATCTCATTGATGTTGATGTCGACAGCGAAGCTGAATCGTCCCCGTCGTCTCCAGTAGCGAAGAGGCACAAGTTGTGGGCTAGTACATAATCATTTAGGCGGCGAACCGGCTGCCTTACGACGTTACTTGCGTTCACTCTCATGAGGCGTCTGACGCAGTCTCGGAAACGCAGGCGACGATCGAAAGTGTCACTGCCAGAATCGAAAGAGTATGCAAGTGCAACGCCGCCCAGCGCATCGTGTTGTTTTCCAGGAAGAACTTGGGCCATGCCTTTGAACTGATGTCGTTGACATGCTCAAGTCGGTGTCAACATCTTTAGTTCCGTTGTATTGTGCTCCGCCACAAAAGCCACTAAGTAATAGTTTGTCTCTTTGTGTCAGACTGTGCGAAAACTGTCATTTTCTATTTCAAAGTATTATTTTGAAAGCGGTGTTTGGGGCACTTGTAGACTACTTTTCTGCCCTGTATCACCTTCAAGAGGTCAAGTAAGGTCCCAAGAACTGTTTTCTGGAGGAAAACAAAATTTGAAAATTTTCACCCTAAGACGTGTTTTAGCTGGTTGTGGCCCACATGTATGTGCTATGCTATGGTGAAAGACAGTGCTGCTCAATGCAATCTGATCAGTTGAGTCAAGTTTGCGCCTTGCAACAGTTCACAGACCAGTGTTGCCAGGTCTTGTGCTGCTTATTACTTGGCGCGTACTTGATTCACGCGATCGGATTCCATTCAAGGGGAAGTCCATCGATTTTCAAGTAGGGTCCAGAAAAATCCTTACGATTTGATATCGGCTCGAATGGTATATCTCTCGCTTGCATACGATAATCCAACTAACTTTCCAAATCGCCAATTGTATGCTCACGTTGTCATAGCGACCATCGCGGTGATGACACACATTCTGCTTAGCTCCGTGAGAGAGAAGGTCGATCACTGCAGTCTTCTTGTATTGATGATGTGAAAGAAGGGCTGTGTTCAATGCTGCTAGTGCCGTGAACTGTATATTCGCCTTCTCCTTTATTTCCCTAGGCTGGCTGTAGCCTAGGAAATGGTTCTTCTAGAGAAGATGCTTGGAATTTTTCAGCAAACTTTCAAAAGGTACGGCATTATTTTCACCACCCGTTGTCTCACCTGGCTTCAGAAGATGTTACGAGAGATAGGAGAGTCGCCAGGCAGCATTACATCCATCTTCAGGAAGTGGGAAGAGCAAACGGTATGGTCGCCCCAACCAAGATTTCAGCATTTTGTTCATCACTATTTTCACTAGTCTGCTGATGTCTCCGTACTCCAGCTTTCTCCTGTCGGCGTCACATCACAGTACAGTAGACTCGTTCGCCCAAGAACGTCCAGGCTGGAAATCTAAGAACGCCCCAGCCTGGATTTAAGAACGAACTCCAAGATTTTTAAGAACGCGACATTTTTTTGGTATTGTATTAACTACAATGCAATCTTCTGAAAAGGAGAGAGAGAAAGAGACGTGATATTTGAGCGCCGGTTTGTTTTGCAAGCGGATTGCACCTTCATGATCTTACCGAGTACACGAAAAATAAGTCCGCAACCACAAACTCTTGTCGGGTCCTCTCGAAAACATCACCCAGTGCAGCGCTACATACTACACGTGCATGTAAAGTGTGCAACCGGTACATGTAGCGCAAAGTACACGTTAAGTGCATTGTACATGAGCGTGACGGGCCATGTTGGACGCGTAAGAACGCGAAATAAGAACGTAGCCTGGGGCGCTGAAAAATAAGAACTTTGCTAGGCTGGCCCTCTGAAACCGCGTTCTTGGGCGTACGAGTCTACTGTATACAACGGAGAGGACTACTAATAAACAGTTCACGGCACTAACAGCATTGAACACAGCCCTTCTTTCACTTCGTGAATACAATAAACCAATGTAAAATGACCAAATTCTGCAGTGATCGACCTTCTCTCTCACGGAGCTAAGCAGAATGTGCGGTATCACTGCGCTGGTCGCTACGGCAACGTGAGCATACAGTTGGCGATTTGGCAAGTTTGGCTTATCGTATGCAAGCGAGAGATATATCAATCGAACCGATATCAAATTGTCTTTCATCTGAACCCTACTTGAAATATCGATGCACTTCCCCTTTGAGCAGCACTGTAGAGTGTAGTGACACAATATTTAGATTGAAATTGAACATGCAAGATTCCAGAGCGTTTGGATTTTTGTACATTTGTCTCTGCAGCACACCGTCGTCAAGAAAATCCAAGGGAGTAGAGACCCAAAAGAAACCGACCTGGAGTAACTATGGAAATAACTATGCTGACGTGTGTGGTGTTCCCATGGCAGAGAGATTTCCCATGTGAGCAATGCGACATTTCTCTCTATGTCATACTCTTGTGTACTGACGCACATTTTAACCGTTCAAGTCGAGGAGATGCATTGCCACCAATGCTGGACGCTTTCCTGAGTTGCTTGGACAAAGTCTGCACACAGTCATGCCTGGACTGTGATGTCTGCACACAGTAATGCCTGGACTGTGATGTCTGCACACAGTCATGCCTGGACTGTGATGAACTAGCCCTGGTTGTAAACTGTAGACATGTACAATATCAGAGTATGACCAAGAGTAGATTAACATTTTATCTGCTCTTGGTATAACCAATCAGACCTTCGCTCTTAGTCATCATCCTTACTGTGCTCTCGGATGCTGCAATATTAAATTGCATAATCCAAGTGGATCCACGTATAAATAATATACATGTAATGTGTTTGCCTCCCCTTGCTGATGTGATGTAGCAAGTCCTAGCAGTTGTCGCTGTTTATGGGTGTTCTCCAGGCCCCAGTCTCCAGGAAGCAATGGTGTGTTCTGGTACGGTGTGAATGTAGCTAATGTACACTTTGTCATGATCAGCACTGAACATGACCTCAGCCCTGGATCTGTGCAGCTCAACTGGTTGAGATACGACCTCAGTGCTGTCAATCGGGCTACCCAACCCTGGGTCATTGTTGCTGGCCATCGACCACTCTACAACAATGAGAAACGTCAAAAAGATGATGATCTGTGAGTTAGAGTGAACAGTCCTACACTGCCACATTTCAATCGGAAATATTTTAAAAGATGTCGTCTGTGACCTGCAGGCTAGGCAACTGGGCATAACAGGATAGTCAGACCAAACAGGGAGTACGAGAGTTGAGTCTTGCTCAGAATCCGAACCGTCCTAAACTGAGCTCGTAAACCCGTGTCCTCCGAGAAAGCGTTTCGCCTCTACCTGTACTCAGTAAGAGTGATGTGTGGACTTAACTGCCTATTCACAGCCCAGCTTAGTTGACTTTGGCCAAAACAAACTGTAACCCTGCTTCGGATCGGCTGACCGGGTCATTTTTCCAAATTCTGAAACTTTCTGGTCCGCAAGTATGTGCGCACGATAGGTGCATGTATGCGACTGATGCTAGCCGACGAAAGAGCTTACTTGCATCGTGCTTGCACGAGTGCAGTAAATACAGTAAATACAGTCAGTAGACTTGCACACTGTCAGTTGTACATGTACTAGTACACGGTCTGTGCGAGTACAGTCTATCAACTGTGGCATTGGTCCATACAATGTGCATAGTATACATCAAGTGTGTATCTTCATTGCTTTTGTCAAACAGAGAGGTTCCAGGCTGTCCAAGAGAGTACTCAATACCGAGAGGTAGAGCTAGTTCAAACATTGCTTTTGTCTGTCAACAGCAGATGTTGCAACCGAATATGGGATTTCCGTACTCGAGCGATTAGAGATCTATCTCGAATAATGCCCCTGTCTCTGAGAGCCAGTGAAAAAAACGCCCTCTCTTGAATAATGCCCCACCTCCGGGGCTTGTAATCAAGCATATGTGCAAGTTTGGTGTTGTTTTGCTAATACTCTTGTCCATGCCATTGTATTGGTGGTTTCAGAGTCGAAATCTCAGTTATTTTTGCTGTTTCCGTTGGGTCGTGAGAGTTTACAGTAAACATCAGGCTCTGCTTTTCTTTGCCTTCTTTGAATCATGCTGGATGATGTGCATGTAAATGTACCAGCATTGAAAAACTAGTTCCCTCTCTAGAATAGTATCCTCTCTTGAATAGTGCCCCATCTGTGATAGACTTTGAAAAATAGTGCCCCAGGGTCACTAATCGCGTGAGTATGGTAGTTTGATGTGGCTAAGTCTATTACTATGCTAACTATAGGCAATCATATGCTTCTCCAATGTACAGACCAGTGCAGCTGAAACTGAGGGAGATCCTGAATCCGGTCTTTGCAGAGTTTGATGTCAACCTCTATGTGTGTGGTCACTACCACAACTGTGAGTATCGGTATGCATACACATAATCAGTATGCATATACAAATCAATATACTTATAGTGCATGCGTATACATAATTATCAGTATGCATATACACATCCAAAGGATCAGTCGGGGAAGTGAAAATAATAATTATACGGAGTGTACGGATATACGGAGTGTATGCGTATTCATATCAGTATGCATTATACTCATAAAAAGGACACACTTCAGGCTCATTACAAACATCTTGAAAGTTTTTGTCTTCACAAGTATACTTTCAAGCCTTCTCATCAGGTGAAATACAGGCAAGGGAAAAGGAACAGGAACAGTGGATTAAATACAGTAAGAAGGTGGTAAAACAGCGCAAAAAGAAAGAAGCTATCTTCTTTCTTTCTTTCTTTCTTTTTGCACTGTTTTACCACCTTCTTACTGTATTTAATCCACTGTTCCTGTTCCTTTTCCCTTGCCTGTATTTCACCTGATGAGAAGGCTTGAAAGTATACTTGTGAAGACAAAAACTTTCAAGATGTTTGTAATGAGCCTGAAGTGTGTCCTTTTTATGAGTATTATCGCATTTTTGTCTCAGAGGAAACTGTATGCATTATACATGATTATATTATCAGTATCCATGTACATTGGTGAGCTACACGGTGTACTGCAGAAAATCTAGCGTACAGATGCACATGTTTGAAACATACTGTTGTGAATTCCAGCAGAAATCCAAGAGAGCTCGATACCGGGAAGGTAGAGCCGTAACACACTAGTCAGAACAACAGATGGCCTGATCAGTCACAACTTCAAAGTTGTGACTGATCAGGCCATCTGTTGTTCTGACTAGTGTGTTTCGAAACATATAATATTATACATGAGGAGCTCTAAAGGAGCGAAACAGTTGCTGTCCACAGATTCGAGTAATATTATACATGTATAATTACACAGAGACTGTGTGTGGATTAGTGTGTGACGGTGTGTGTGTGTGTGGATGAGTGTGCGTGTTCATGTTTCACCATAGACGCCCAGCACCTTGAGATGTTGATTCTGGCAGGTCAGAGCGTACTGCCTCTGGGAAGTGTTGATTATCATATTGTCTGCACTGAATTATTCTATCTCCTCTGCTTGCCTTCATATACCTGCTTTTTTCTAATCTCCTTATGTTGTCTGATGATTGTTTTTTGCCATGAAACTTGAGTTACAACAAAAAACAGCCTTATTTACTTCCTTTTGTGTACCTCAGTCTTGTGTACATGTATAGTTATAATGTATGGGCACATCCTTCATGTACCCATACATGAAGAATTGACAACACCGACAACGACAAAGACATTGACAGCAAAAGCAACAACAACAACGACGATGACGACGACCACAACAACAACAACAACAACAGCAACAGCAACAGCAACAGCAACAGCAACAGCAGCAGTAACCACAACAACAACGACGACGACGACGACAACAGCAGCAACAACAACAACGACAACAACAGTATCTCTTATTGGCCACAGGCCATCGTGTAGGCCATCATGAGAATAAAGATTTGAAAGTACAACAACAAAGGATATAATGGACAACAAATGGCATGTATATTCTACATGTATATGTGTATGAGATGTGTAGGTGATGCGAGATGTACTCCCCCAACCAGTAGTCTCGGCATGTATATGTATATGGACAAACCTCTGCATAATATTCTTACCTAGTTTTGTGCTCTTTTGCCATTTCTCGCGCAAGTTCCTGTGAGATCCACCAACACGATGTCACATTGTGTCTGGTGTTTTCCTGCAGATGTTCGCACCACACCGATATCAAGGAATGGCAGTGTGACATCTGTAGGCACTGTACACATCACCGTCGGTACCGGTGGTGCTGATCTTGGTTCAGGCCAGGTTAGTGAACATGGATATGTATGTGTATCTACACACGTATTTGGGGGTTTCTGAACCTCGGCAGGATATATTATGATCTCGGTCACCCGGCTCAAGATATACCCCTGAAAAGGAAGAGATCTGCCCTCTCCTCTAAGGAAGCATATACTACTGTACAGTGCTGAAGGTGCTGATCATTTCCTATAGGGCTTGAAAGTGCTACGTCACAGCATAGCAACAATTTCAAAAATTCAAAAATTGGATCCACTTGGATCCAGTTTTTGTATGGATCCAAGCACATTTCAAGACGTCTTACTCTCAGCAAGGTGATGTTACCAGTGAAACTGACTGATTTGGCTACTGGGGGCGGGGTTACAACTGGTGGCGAAGTAAAAGTCACCCCTGCATACGACATGAGTGGGTTGCTATGCACCCATATACTAAGGCAATAGCAAAGTTACACCTTAGTGGATCCAAAATAGAAATCTGATGTCAACTTAGTACTCCCTGGCCGTTTTTGACGTCATCACTTTCAAGCCCTATAGGATCATCATACCCACTGCATGAGAGTCTCGGGATCAACAACAGGAAAGTACAGGGTGTTACTGTTAGAATATCGTCTGTTCTTTCAAGTAATACTTTCCGACCAAGGTACAAAAGAGGTGCCATTCTTTGTAGGAAATTGTCCACTATAATTATGTCATTATGACTATAGAGGGCTGGCTGATGCAGCTCGAGTACACAGTGCTCAACTGTGCAGAACAATATACATGCACAACAGAGGCAGAGAGCTGTAACTTTTTAAGTTTCACACAGTGGAACGATCATCAGACAATGGCATTCACGCTTCCATGCGCAACCTTTTAAAAGTGTCAACTCAACGCCTTTCGTCTTGTGTGTGTGTGTGTGTGTGTGTGTGTGTGTGTGTGTGTGTGTGTGTGTGTGTGTGTGTGTGTGTAATTGCCAACCTGTTGGAAGGCTACCCTCTTGCCAAAGCATTTTGGAAGTTGTACTAGTTTCGGCTCCACAATCCAGTGTGTCGTTACTATAATTATAGCTTTCATGGCTGAGGTTGTTGGTACGTCTGTTTGCCCTGGGTCCCCAGTACCCAGTTGCCGAGGCTGGTTGGTAAAATAACTCCAATTTCACTTCAAGGTACCAGTGCATCTAGTGTCTGCTTTTATCAAAGCAGCGTGCTGTGTATACTGGTTACCCCAGCAAGTATAGGGTGTGCATAGGTAACTGTCTTGGCCGTCCTACTCCGATGTACTCCGTGTGGTAAAGATCAGGTGTGCATTGGGGGGTCGAATCACATGGTTTCGCCAGTTGTGTGGATTAGACAGTTATCTGGCGCTTGTCTTGATCTGTTTCAATCAGAATCAGATCCGCTATCGGTGTTATAAAGAGTAAATCTGTGGGTGCACATCCAGTACATTTGCAGATTTGCATGCTTCTCTTGCGACGGGCGTATACATGGCACATGGTGTGTTATTATGGACCTGTTGAGTTCTCGAAGTTCCATAGCACCGCGATCACAAAAGCCAAATGACAAGTTTAGCTAGGGAAGACACTTATTACGGAAACAACGAGGAGAGAGAGAGAGAGAGAGAGAGAGAGAGAGAGAGAGAGAGAGAGAGAGGAAGAGAGAGAGAGAGAGAGAGAGAGAGAGAGAGAGAGAGAGAGAGAGAGAGAGAGAGAGAGACGAACAGCTACATGATGATGAGGGAGCGATCGAGTGCTAGGTAAAGGGCTTGGGTAGCTATGGCAAATATGGCGGCGCAAGTAGCTACCCAGGCCAACGGAACAAAAAGTGCCAAACGCGGTGCAAGCCAGCTGGTGCAAGGATGTACGGGGAATGGTGACAGTCAGACCTCCAACCATAATTGTGTGCTTGTGTATTCTTTTCTATGCCCATGTCGGATACGCACCATCCTGCATGTACATGAATGCCATCCTTATCATCTCAGTATCATTCTGTTCCCTGGGTTGCAAAGAACTTGACGACATTTGGAGTGATTTCTATTGAAACCGTGGGACCAGAGAGGATGATTGTACAGTTTGTGAGCAGCAGTGGAACAGTGCTGGATTCCACCATCCTGAACCTGCCGTCTAAGCCCTCAACAACACAGCCACATGTCACTGGCATATCAGCAGGTAGCAGTGATTCCCTGCCTAGTACTTACACTGTAGTGCTAACAGTACACACTCTCTGCCTCACCTACATGATCATGATCATGACTTGAAGCCGAAGGAAATCTCGGCTAGTCCTAACAATAATTATGGTAGGACAAAAGCTTTTTTGCTGCATGCCACATGCCATGTGCATGTACAGCATATTGTGAACACGGGATTTCGAGCGAAAACCTGGCAAAATTCTCCTAGCATTTGACCATATACATGTAGACGCTGAACAATATTCTCAACACTCACGGAGTTATACTGATGTTCCTTTATGATATTGAAGACAAGGGCATAGTGGATAATATCAGCAGAATGTTGTGAGTAGAATTGAAAAAAATTCAAACTAGAACCGAATTCTGTACAGTGCATGCTGAGTGACACATTGTGACGATGCACAACAATGTCAATTTATACAGCTCATTGTGTGTGACATGGTGATGAAACGTACAACTTGTGTACGTTACATCGCTTCTTTGTCACGTTCAAACCAGAATATCTGTACTGATTTCTGTGGTATGAAAGGCCTCTTTAGGTTCACACATTACTTCGTCCGCTAATCGTGCAATGCAGTTTCCTGTAACTAAGTCTCTATTCTTCATCATTAGCTATGATATCAGCTATGATGATCATTTTGCAGCAGACTTCGAGCACACTCAATGCTGTTTTGGAGTATGAATGAGAAGCAGAATCTACCAAATCTTTCCAGCGTTTAATCCACCCGCCATGGCATAATGACAGGCGATAATGTCACTTTAGATTTACCCATCTGCCTATACTCTTTGTGAACCCTTATTTTGAATGTACATGGACTAAGTCCAGTTCCAGTTTTATAACACTTCATATTCTTTTGATAGTTCATTACCCTGGTGAAGTTTAAATGTGTAAGTGGCTGCGTTGGAGTTTGCGGACAATTAGAAAAGTCTTTTGATAGTCCTCATAATAACTCTGCACTTGCATGCTTTCTAGTCAGGAAATCTAAGGAGCTTGCAGTATAATCCTGTCTATTCATGCATACATGACATGTACATGTACATGTGGCTTTGTGAGGTGAAACAGTCATGTGTTTCTGCGAGAAAAAAGTGGAACCATACCCATAGCTAGTAGAGTGAATTCCTCACGCCCTACTGCGAACAACTCGTCCTAACAACTCTCTGATTTAGTTACATGCCTAGCACTCCCTGCACTAAAATGCAGAATGGCATAATTATTCTATGATACATTCATAATTATTACGATAATCACCACAGCGGAAGCCAATCAGGATGCCTTTACTTGGCTTTAGCAGAGCACTAAAAACAAGGTATATTTTAACGAGAGAGCTTGGAAGCTCAGGGCCCTACGCTATGCTTTTTTGCCTAGCTCATCATGCATGTAATTAGAACTGATGGAAATGTGTTTTCCATTGATTGGCTACATCATTGTATCGCAAAAATATTTTAATCAGTTTGAGTATGAGTTAGGCAAAAGTAATTGCAGAATATATTGGGGATTGTTATTTCCTCCCACTTCATCCAATTTTCGTTTGCTCCTTCTTTTCCTTTTTTTTCTCCTTATAATCGGATTTTCTGGCCTTTTTGTAGTAATACATTGACCTGCTGAGCCAATAAGGTAAAATTAGATTCCATACAATACGATACAATACAAAAATACAATACTTTCTTGCCTTGTTAGTGTGCTTGTGCTTAAGTCCGAAGCGATGCTCACTTCCACAGCAACTAGGGTCTCCTTCTCCCTTACGGAGTGGATCCTGCGCACCTTCGCCTTCTCTGCCTTCATGGTGTGGTGAACATCAACTAGGTCCGTGTTTTGCACGATGATCCGCTCCACCAATGGCTGCGAGATGGTCCTGGAGTCATCAAACTGGCTGGCGAGATCGCACGGGTTGATTAGACCCATGCCCCCTAGGCGACAAGGCAGAGCGAGGAGAGTGCGGGTGGTCTCATCAGGAGCAGGGTGTCCTGTGAGCGCCGGGATAAACTCGCCATGGATAATCTCCTCCAGTGGCTGGAAATTCTCCGTCGCTTCTGGCATGGTGCGAGCGAGGAATTTCCACTTGCCCTTCAGCCCTTGCGTGAACACCGTGTACGCTGCTTGTGGCTGCGATTGGGCGTACCTGGTGAGGACTTGCAGTTCCTTCACCCATTCCATGACCTTCGCTGCAAAAAACTGCTTGCAGAAAGCAGCAGTGCCCAATCCCGCACCCAGATGACGGCAACCATCTTGCATGATTGCGATGTTAGTCGCATGGAACACTTCCTCCGCGGTTTAGGCAAACTATGGTTTCACCAGGAGAGTGGAGAGTGGACTTGGAACCATTGATGAAGTATCCATATATGTGGCCCTCCTCCTCGAGCGTGTTCCACCATACAGCGTGTTCCACCATACAGCGTGTTCCACCATACAGCGTGTTCCACCATACAGCGTGTTCCACCATACAGCGTGTTCCACCATACAGGGTGTTCCACCATACAGCGTGTTCCACCATACAGCGTGTTCCACCATACACGCAGCGCACGCATACGGCCTGCTGCTGTGGAATCATCCGCAAACCAGATGTGCTGTGCCGCTGAGCTGCTCGCCGCCTTCTGCATGAGTGGGAGGGGCCCAATGGCATACATGGGCATTGCCATCGGGTCTCCCTGGGTGGTGTCCTCCTCAGAAAGAAGACACTCCCCATCGACGAACAGCCGTGCAGGATGCCGGTAGGTGTTAGTGACGGCACCCGCGATGGCCGGACAGAGGTGACGGATGTTGTGCAAGCACACACTGCGGTTCAGCCTGTTGAACGCATTGCTCGCGTCTGCTAGGAGGACTGCTTCGGTCTCTTCCTCGTTCCACAGGTGCCCCATTGCGTGGATTGCTGCTTTCACACCACATGCATTCTTGGCTGCCACACAGCTGAAGCGACCCGACCGCCTGTTGGATCTACTCTCCGATTATGGTGAGGATGGCTTTGCCTACTATCCTTCTGAGGACTTCACATAATTATGCCGATTGGGCGCACCCCTTCTTATCCAGAGGCACAAAGCGGCATGCCGTGAATGACTCGAGGGAAATTGGGTTGATGATTCCGGTGGCGATGCGCTTGGCACAGGCGGCGATGCTATCACATAGCTGGTCGGAGGACGCTCCGAACGAGATGCACAAGCGTTTCCAGCTGGTAGAGTCCATGCCGGGTGGGCCCGCTGCTCCATTTGTCCTTAGCACCGATTGCCAAATGATGTCTCTGTTCAGAGCTTCGAACAGCACCAGGTGCGGCAGTTCAGGGCAGGGGTCGAGGATGAGGGCATCTGCATGCATGGGCTCCGCCGGCGGGTGCTTCTCTTTCAGCGTTTGCCTCACGGTTTTACCATCAGCGGAGGAGTCCAGATTTAGCAGCCCACTCGAGGGCGTTGCTGTCAGGGACTGGAGAGCTGCGCCCAGTTTACCATTTGTGATTAGGGTAGCGCTACGTTGCGCGTAATCTGGACTTTGGGCCCGTTTCCCGCCTCGTCCCTTGGTTAGTTGGCGCTGGATGGTATGTGCTTCCCGGACGAGTTGATCGATGTTTCCCTCGTTCCATAGCTACATTCGTCGGTTCAGACATTCCACATGCACCTTACGTGTTAAGCAGTTGACTGGTTGTTGCAGTAGAAGACTAGGGCAGACCATAAGTGCCTTCAAGGCTATGCCTTCTCCCGCTGCACTTGTTCCGAACGTGTTGAGGTAGCGACCGCTCAAGTCCACCACTGACCTGCCATGTGCACCCGATGGGATGGAGAACAGGTTAGGCCGGAAGTGTACGATTTCCTCGTACGCTGCAGCTATGACCTGCCCTGTGTCCTCGGGGCTCAGCTCACCGAGTCTGAGTCGTTGGTCAGCTGGCGGGATTGGCGATGTTGCAGCCCCCTGCCCACTAGCTGTACCGTGCGCGTTTGTGGGTTCTAGCTCGCTGGTGCTATTGGGCTGCGACGTGCTCAGGCTCGCTAGGAGGGCGACCTCTTGTGCCGTTGGTTGTCGGTCTTGCCGTGGAGCATTGGCTTCACGTGGCAGTGCTACTTCTCCACAGGAGCCGGTCTCCGAGGGTGTTGGTGTAGAGGCATCGAGAAGGTCCCATTTTACCTTTTGCGAATTGGAAATCGGGTCGGCGCGGTGGCGTTGTTCCAGGGTGTCCCACGCCAGCTGCTGCGAGGCCGACACTTGGGTAGTGCCATCTAGTCCTTGGCCCTGGCCGTCGACGCAGAGCTCGGCGACGTGCAGCTGTTCCAGTGCGTCCCACGCCAACTGCTGCGAGTCCGACACCTGCTTGGTGATATCTAGTCCTTGGCCCTGACCGTCGGCGTGGAGCTCGTCCAGAGGCGGAGTGTCCCGAGCCGACTGTTGCGACACGTGGGCTTCGCCCTGGGTTGTCGGTCTCCGCGTGGGGGACGCGGCGGCTGGAATGTATCGTATGGTTCGAAAGCCTACGCGACTGGCCCTCGCCGCGACGGTTTGCGAATTTCGGCATCTTGCCCTGTTCCTGGGCCCGCAATCCTCGCATAGCTTGCCAGCTTCTCGGCAACAGCAGCTTTTTCCGCACTCGGAATTGCCAGTGCACTGGCAACACTGGCCGTCAGGGACGCTAGTCGCGGGGTTGCCCTTTGCGGGCATCACTCTGGAGAGAGCTACCAACTTTTAAGCATGCACTCTGAAGTGCAGATTGCAACATTAATTTCCATGAGGTTCACTTTTTGCTATGCAGGATGGTTCGTGCACAGTATTGCTCAATGAAATCCAGTCGCGTCACTCAAGTATTCGCTGGGCGTTGCGCAGCCATAGTCTCATAGACCTGCGAACACTGGGCTGCGGAATGACGCAAGGCGCAAACCAACAACCTTCCAACTTGAAAGGCTCAGGTGCGAAAAGTTCCAATGAGGGGAAGGGTTTTTTCTTCTTTTTTTCTTTTTTTTTAAGAGAGCACACACCTTAATTATGTTATTTATTTATTTATTACAGCATCTCATAGCACAGTGAGAACACCGGCCAATACAAAGAGAGAGGGTGTTAGCCAACCACGGCAAGGAAGGGAGAAGGGGAGAAGAAGAAAAAAGGAACCGGCATGGATAAGTAGTGATTGCAACAAAATGAGAAACACAAAATCAAAGTCAAGGCGCGACAAGGCTCTTAATTAAAAAGGCGGAGGGAAGAAAGGTCCTTAGCTTCTTGGGGAAGTGCCAGCCACGCAGAGCACGCAGTGAAAAAGGGAGAGTGAAGTAGAAAGGAGGACTTAGGTTTCGGAAGGGAAAGGGAGTTTCTCGTGCTACGGGAAGGAAACCAGTTGAAACAGTGGAGGTGAGGTGGACACAGATTGAGTTTGAGAGAATGGATAAGGGTGACAAGATGTGAATTACGTCTCTTAGACAAAGGGGTAGTGTCAGCAAGGGCATAAAGGGTGGAAGATGGGAGCATGTGGGGTTTTCGGAGGAGGATTTTGAGAACTTTTTTTGTGGTGAATTTCGAGCTTGGCAGCACGGGTTGTGGAAATTTCAGCCCAAGCAATATCTGCATAATCACAAATGGGGCGTAGGTAAGCTGAGTAAAATAGGAGTTTACAAGAGATTGGGAGATGGTAACAGTGAGA